GCCATAGAGAGTGTCGCATCCATCAATTGCTCTGCAGAACCTCGGAAACCAAAGTGATGCGAAGCAAGCACTCGCTTTTTGGAGTTCACCATTTCCTGCCCAGCGTTTGACTCCACGTCCCACAGAGGAAGGCCCCGAGGACAGAAAGAGGACCTGCCGGGCAGTAGCCTAGCAGCAGTAGCAGGACTGACTACTAGTAGCATTCACGTATGCAGCCCTGTTGGGATATTGTGTAGTGGTGTCGGATGTGTCTCGGGAGCTTTGAAATTACAATCCAACTTGCATTCTCAGCTGCCCTCAAGATTCCTAAGAAAGCCTCTCACTCGAATCACTACGTCACTACGTCAGATGCACCGAGGGATCAGCGAAATGGACACAGCCAGCACAGCCCCTGCCTGGGGTGTGCCTCTAACGAGACTGCTGGTTCGGAGCCCGTGGAGTCTGGAACTATGAAACCTGGTCAGGGAGCAAACCTCTCTGAAAGGTGTCAGCGTCAAAAGCTTTCTTCTTTCACCAACTTAACGGCACTGCAACCTACAACTTGCAAGTGCACAGCGAGGTTCAGGGAACCGACGCTGGCTCTGAGCGCGTATGGCGTGGCACAATCTCGTCGACTACAGTGGACTACATTGTACGGGGCTGCAATAGGGAAACAAGGCCGCAGGTCACGCAGGTGCCCGCTCGACATGTCTAAGGGATCATCTACTTCCAAATACGTGGCGCACCTTGCAGTTTGAATGGCAATCCTCTCCCAAAGCCGACAACTTTCGGACACCTCAACAGCAGGTCTTCCACGCTCAGTATGCGATGCAACACAAAGAGACGACCTGCGCTTCCTGACTTGCATCACGCTTGACGGACGACGAGGATGTATCAGCAAGGAATAGCTTGGCCCCCGGCAGTTCATTAGTCTGCGCAAAGACGGGCTGCGCCGACCACATCGACCTCACCCTCTGGTGGACAAGCAAAAGGTGGTGGGACCAACACTCAAGCTACGTTCATCTACTGAAGAAGCATTGCAAGATATTGCAAGTTTCTCTAAGCAGTCTCTAGAGAGAACGATGTTATTTTGCTTTTTGGTATCCCAATCCATTCTGTGACGTTCCAGGGGCTACTCAAAGGTAACCCCACAAAAGACCACCAAGCTTGTGAGTCCACCTGGTCCACCTGAGGGATATCGACATGTGAGGGCTCTCGGTGCTTCTGGAAAAGAAGGCATGGTCCCAAATGAATCACAAACAGGACCAGGTCCTCTATCTCACATGCCTCCTTCGTGGCTTCCTCCAATCTTGCTCACTGATTCATCGCTTCTCAGCCTACTACGTTAATTGACGAGGAGGCTTTGGAGACCAGTCACCCCATGAGCAATGGGACGAGCAAAGATATGCGGCTGCGTCTCTTCAGGGTGTGTTCACCCTCAGGAGAGCTGCTCACTACTGCAGGGTTCAGCGATCCTAGTAGGTCCTAGCCCCGCAAGTAGTAGCACAGCTCTTTCCAATGGACCCAGCTGGACGAAGGGAACAGGAGGCTGCCTTGCAAAAAAGGCAGCATCGTTTCCGAGCAGCCGCTACGGTGAGCTCGGGAGGTGCAAGATGGCTGATTTGTCGGATGCTTTCTTGGGACGCACGAAGACGCACGATCGATACCACATCTCTGAATGTGAGATAACAGCATCCGGAGCCGAATTCGATGCGTGCGGAATGAGGACCAGAATGACGGAGAATCATGGAGAATGACAGAATGCCTTCTTGCTGCTTCTACCGTGCTCTGTGACTCAACAGCTGGGCCCCACTCCGTGAACAGAGTCATTCACCTTGCCACGTATTGTGGCAGGGTCAGGTTGGAAGAGGCTTCCTTCAACAAGGACGGGTCGCTCCTGTGTTTTGCCCAACTCATAAAGGAACTCGGCCTAACGAGCGGGGGTCTATGGCCAGACTCGCCCCCATCCCCAGTCTGAAGGGCGGTGCAGGTCCTTGAAATGCAGCGAGCAAGCAAGCAGACTTGCAATGCCAGCGAGTACCAACTTCGGAGTCCAACATGTGGCGGGTGTCCACATGGACTGTGACTGTCTGTGAGCATACATGTGATGTTGATCTCCTGCCAGCTTTTCCATGATCGAGGGATCAGACCGAGTTGTGTAGATAGCTTCCCTATCCCGCCACACGTTGTTATCAAGTGCTGAAGGGCCTCAACGTGGTCCTGTCAAAGTCTCAATGGCTAGGCAAACATTGTGGCTGTCTGAGTCAACCGTTATTCTATCGTGGTTCTAAACCAACTTTCCTCTTCCGTATTGGCACGTTCGCCATGCTAAGCAGTGAACAACGAGAACAATCAGCCCAACTGTTCGCCAGCACATCCGCTCCCCTTGGAGCATTGAGCTCTTAAGGGGTTTGAGGCATGTGTATAGGGGCTCATCGACCCCGAATCCAACAGCTCCAAAAGCCAAGATCTCTGCAGCGGCTTGGTTGCCTAGCGGCCCATGTTCGTTAATATTTTTGGGCCCTTGGAACCACGAGTAACCATGCCGCTTTGTAGAAACGGCTTGAAGCTTGGAGACTACGTTCTGTTCTGTCCACGGTCAAGGAGCTGTGCCTTCGTCAATCAACATCTTCGACCACACATAAGGACCGATAAGCTTTGCGATGAAACAAGTGAACTTGGACGCGTTTTCAACAGCTCTTTTTCCGTTTCCTGGCTTCGCAATCGACAAACTGGGTATGGTCGCTTGCTGAACGGATGCCTTTCTGTTCAAAGGCAAGCGGAGCCCCGAAAATCTCACACTGCAGAAACAGAACAATGTCAATTGATAGCACAAGCAGAAGCAACACTGCAAACCTTACATAAGAACGTCTATCACGAATGCACATTAGCAACTGCGGGACAATGCGTCAGCCATAAGGCTGCATCGGTGGGGTCCAAACCCAGAGCGTCAGGGAACAGCCTGCTATGCAGGTTGCGAAACCAGCAGCCTGAGTCAGGCTTCGAGTGTGGACATTGTTGGAAACAACTGAAACACTGTTTACGATGGCACTGTGTATTCCCACCTCTGCGGCCAAAAAGAAGGGGCATCCTGGGCAGGTAGGGATGTGCTCAACAGGCCCTTATTGCGGGGGATGCTGCACACAGCGCAGCACACCGAGAGCGCCGCCGGATCGATCTGGAAGCTCGAAGACGCAGCAGTCGAGGCGTTCGACTTGGAGGTGTCTTGGCGCCTTAGCAAGGAACTGCCCCGCTAACTCCCGTGCAGTCGACTTTCCCAGAGAGCCCAATACCCCTTAATTAAGGAATATACCTAAATCAAAATATTAAGGCCCCTATAATTTAAAGTATGTTCCTTAATTGAGGGGTATTGGGCTCTCTGGGTTCATCATCGAAGACTCGGTCGATCCGAGGCCAGGGCAAAAAATCGCTTTTCCGCACATCGGGCAAGTCACAGTTGAGGGGCACCTTGTCCTTCGGAAAGTTTGGAGTCGTCTCGCGTCTTGTGGTTCCCTGCGTGGGACACTGCTTTATAGTATAAATACGATGAATGGTCCCAAGTCTTTCAGGATTGGTAGATATCCCACTACAGCTTCGCGTCCTTCGCCGTGGGAGTACGTACGGCCTTGGTCAGCATGGCAGTGTCGGCATCTTGGGAACTCTCTCCCCTAATATATATATATATATATATCTCTATCTATCTATCTATCTATCTATCTATCCTGACATGAACGAGTCGCATCCGCGCCGTCCGAGCCAAACTTAATGTTGGCTTCATGAGATACGGGCCTGACGTGTGCTTTGCTGCAAGGTGCCGAGAGCCAGGCGTGCGTCTGCTGTCGCTCAAATTTTTGCACCAAGATCGCGGCTCCTTCCACCTGCCACATGGTGTGAGTCGTCACAGTAGGAGCAGTGAAGAAAACCCTTCTTCATACGGCCTCTTGCTCTGTACCGAGCGACAAAGCCTTGGCAGATCGGGAGATCTTCGATGCTTCTGAGCGCTTCAGAGCCCCTGCCCCGTGCAGCTCAGGCCGGATCCTGGCGTACTGCCTGTGCGGAAGCCATCTGCACAAAACCCAAACTACTCGGCCGCTGGCGCACCTGGCCGGACACTGCGGAAGCACAGGAAGCTTCAGGAAATCTGTGACTTGCAAATGCAGGATTCAGGGGATTCAGGGGTCTGCAGGACCTGCGACATGCCTAAATTCGTCGACTGACTCTCTCCGGCATCAGAAAGCCGGTGCCAAAAGCCAACCTTGCCCTCCTCATCCTTCACATCACGGCACGTGGAATGCCTTTGAACGGGTGCACGAGCTCATGTCTTAGTCTGGAATCTAGCAAAGTAGAAGCATGTGAAGGGCTGCATTCGTACATTCTGCAGAGGGCCGGGCGCAATGAGGACACGCACCACATGACCAAACCTGTCACTGTCCGGCGACTGTCCGGGCCGTCCATGCAGCTACCGAAGCGATGGTTGAAACGACCAACTCAGGCTGGCACTCACCAAAGTACTGCTTGAGCTTGCGAGAGGCCTGTTGACAGCGTGACATGTGGGGAAGACAACGAGGCCAACGCCCACATGCGACAGCGATTAGGTTAGTTAGTTACTTAGTCAGCTAGTCAGTTAGTCAGTTAGTCAGCTAGTCAGTTAGTCAGCTAGTCAGTTAGTCAGTTAGTCAGTTAGTCAGTTAGTCAGTTAGTCAGTTAGTCAGTTAGTTAGTTAGTAAGTTAGTTAGTTAGTCAGTCAGTCAGTTAGTTAGTTAGTGAGTTGCCTGGGAACACGGGTTCAACAGCATCCTCTCTGGACGGCCTTGAACCCAAGTTTGTTGATCCGACGCACAATGATCAGCTTGTCAGGATCCTGTAAGTGTCGCTGCAGTGGGGTGCGAAGCGAAACAGGGTTTAGGGTTTAGGCGTTTAGGGTTTAGGGTTTGGGGTTTAGGGTTGTGGGTGCGAAGCGAAACAGAGGACCCGATGCGAAGTCCTCTTTCGACAACAGCTGCAAGCTCGTGGAAAGCGTTTGCACAGAGTTCGCCTCGCAAAGCACAACACACATCTGCCAAATCTGATCCCCTCAGCAGAGCTACAAAGTTCTGCAGTTCTGCCTGACGTGGTGGAACTTTCCAACTCTTGTCATTCTTGTAGGCCATGCCATCCTCCTGACACTCAGAGATGCAATGGATGTCACATTCTCACGCGGAAATGCTCAGGAGCTGGCAAAAGCCACCGCAATCCTCGACTGCCTCGCAAAGCAATTCATGTGCCGCAAATCCTGGCCGGCTGCCAAAATCTTGGACCGCGGCTCTGCAGTCGGAGCTGACGGCAGCTGCACCTCATCAGTTTGAGGCCTGCAGCCAAACGCATCTCCGGACTTGCGCTGGCCGCGGAGCGCTCGAGTGCCCATGTGCTAACGGAAAGGCTTAGTGGTGAGGAAGACGACTTCACGTGTGAGCTCAAGCCCAACCTCATCTCAGTCTGCACTGCAACGACTTGCTTGAGCAACTGGATCTCATTGGCAAGAGCCTCAGTGCCCGGAACTGCACAGCACAGCCGCCAAAGCTCCAAAGCCAAGTCCAGTGCTTTTCGGTGATGGCTAAGCGTCGTACCCTGACCCATTCGTGCTGTGCTTGGCAAGCCCTCAGCAGTGCAGAGAAGCAGCAGGGTAGTTTTCGTGATTGAAATCTCAAACCGAAGTCCCCTGTGACGACGAGCAGGATGTTTGTGATGCACTATGTGCTGACTGGACCACTCGCAACATACTCATTTTCCGGGCGTCTCGCGCTTGTTGCCCTATCGTGTCGGCCAATGCCTGCCAGAGTCCGAAGCCCCCCCGCGAGACGTTTGCGTCCACTCGGATACACCATCTCAGTTTGGATGGGTTTGACCAAAGACAGACCTCTACAGTAGGACCAGCACCAGAGATTACCAGCACGTATCAACACGTTTTGCTGTGGTTCGACCCAGGCTCGAGCCTTCAAGACGGAGCTAGTGCTCAGAGCAGCGGTCATGTTCGGCAGGGCGACGCCGTCCCTGGCAAGGGGAAAGGACAATGTTGACAATGGGTACGTGCGGTGGCATCTTGCTGAAGTTCCCACAGAGCAGCAGTGCAAGCTTTGCAGCAAATTATGGGCAGTATACTCTCCACCTAGAGAGGTCTTCCATCAACTAACGTGTCGGGCGACGGTGACGGCAACGTGAGCCCCGGAGCTCCGACTCAGGCAACAAGGAATGCCAAGTGCAGTGTTTCAGCGAGGACTCCGCTACACATCAACTACACTACACTTTTTGCGAGGACGGCAGGCATCGGAGAATCAGAAAATTCAGCTGCTGAGTGCCTGTGGTGACATCTCTTCGTGCTTCCACGTGTACACAAGGACCCTCGGACTCTCTGAGGCAGGCACCAGCAGCAGGAAAACCCAATGCGCCGGCCTGGCCGTGGCTTTGAAGTTGATCAGTTGATGGCTACGGCCTACAGCGGTAGCACAGCTACTGGTACCCCACAGCAAGGCATGTCAAAAGGACACCTTCCGAGCCCTTGTGCACTTGAAACTGACAACTACAGCCGATTCCGCCTGCACTCCCGAAGGATTGGGAGGGCTGGAGGCACGCAGCATCTGCAGACGCTGCATCAGCAGGGCCTGATTTGCCTGCACCTCCGACAAAGCAAACAAGAAGTGTAGCTTTGTGGGTCCGGATATGATGGATCTAGTGAATGTCGGTGCTTGGAGTATCTTCAAGCACTGCTCTTGCTAGTCTAGTCTAGTGCAATTGCTCACTGCCAAAGTCTCCCAGAACAACTACGTCTCCGTGGCACCCGATGCGCCTGCTGACGCAAGGATTCCGCAGTACCAAGGTTCGCCCAGCCGGCCGTCGACTGGTCGCAGATCCCACACAGCTTTGCGCAACTCCATCCCCGACTGCCCCCTCTGACTCCCCCGCCCACGCAGACGAACCTGGTTCAAATTTGCCATCAAATCGTCGATTGCCTTCTTCTGGCGAACCTGCAGGAGCTGAAGGCAGCATGGCGGATGATGGCGGATGCCGGAGCCCCGGAAATCGACTAGGCCAGGGACACTGGTGAGAGCCTCATCCAAGATTCCGAGGGCCTGCCAGGCAGGAAAAAAGATCGGCACGGCTTTTCTGTACAAGGCGTAGGCCTCCAGGGATTCCCATGCAGTATACTACCGAGGATGCCAAGATGAGGATGCGATAAGGCTATTCGGAAGAGCGACTCAACCTGTACTGCCACGTGCTTGCGACCACCATGCCTGTAAAATGCCTTGCTCATCTAAATGCGGGGCCGTCTCCATGACTGTGTTCACCTGCCAGCATGAATGGGCAGTTACATGCCTAGGTTCGGAAATGTTAGGAGGTCCGGCCCACTGGTGATGGCCAAGAGGAAGACCACCATCAAAAGGCATAGGCTGCCTGAGCACTTCGTGTGTCCGGGGATCCAACGATGCTCAGCTTTCTAGGCCGCCGGCGGGGTCTCCAGAAGTGTGCTGGTGTATGCGGGCAGTGTGGGCACTGAAGGCAGTGCCGCCGGCACTGTGGGCATCACCGGCATCGTGGGCATCGCCGGCATGGTCGGCATCAACATGCCCTCAGCTTTTTGACAGGAACAAATTCTCTGCTGCAGCTCCCGGTTGTCACGTCGGGTGTCCCGATGTCTGGCAGGCCCCATCAATGTATGCAGCTGTTCATGCTCACATAGACATGTAGGCAGACGGACAGCTAGATATGTTGATACATAGACAGACAGATGGACAGATCGATCGATGGATAGATAGGCAGATAGATAGATAGATAGGTAGACAGATAGACAGATAGATAGATAGATAGATAGATAGATAGATAGGTAAATAGGTAGATTGGTAGATAGGTAGATAGGTAGATAGATAGACAGATAGACAGATAGATGGATGGATAGATAGATAGATAAGGGGGATAGATAGGTAGATACAAAGATAGAGAGTTCGGTAAATAGTGAGATCAAATCACGGATAGTTAGACAGATAGCTTATGATAGATTAAATTAGATTTCATCAGATTAGCCAAATCAGATAGATAGAGGGATAGATAGATAGATAGATAGATAGATAGTAGCTAGATAGATGATAGATAGAGACACATAGATAGGTAGGTAGGTAGGTAGGTAGGTAGATAGATAGATGGATAGATGGACAGACAGACAAGCAGACAGATTGATTGATTGGTTGATGGATGGATGGATAGATGGACGGATGGATAGATGGAGGGAGGGATGGAAGGGATGGGATGGGATGGAATGGAACGGAATGGTATGGCATGGTATGGCATGGAATGATGGATAGATAGCGCATTAGCTGTATGTGAATGTGTGTGTGTGTGTGCAGATAGGTAGCATGTGCGTGTGTATGCATGTGTGTATGTATGTATTTATGTATGCACGAACGCGCATAGGTATTCTTAATGGGTGGGTACGTTTGCATTTATGTCAAGTATGTATTTCACATATGGATGTAATGTACGTGATGTATTTCATGCGTCTCATGTATCTATGTTACACATGTTACGTACATTGAAGAGGATGGCTGCCCAAAGCGAAGAGCCCTCCCGAGAGCTTCAGATTCCAGCGCTTTGGGCTTGGCTGTGGGTAGGCACCGCTTTGGCAGTCTACTTGTGCGTAAGTGCCCTTTTCTTCTCCTCTTTCTCGCCTCCGCCCTTCCGTTTCTTGTTGTGCTGTTTATCCCCTCTTTCGCTAAAAACAGTTCACAACGTGTATTTATGTATGTATGCATACATGTGTGCGCTTCATTTTAGTATGGTCGTAGTCGTAGTCGTAGTCGCCGTAGTCGAAGTAGCAGTAGTCGTCGTCGTCGTCGTCGTCGTAGTAGTAGTAGTAGTTGTTGTTGTAGTAGTAGTAGTAGCAGCAGTAGAACAAATAGTTGTTGTTGCTGTTGTTTTTTGCAAGCCCACTCTTGCCATGCTGCTGGTCCCCGAGTACTCGGTGGTTGGGGCTGACCTTGGCAGGCAAAGTTGACACAAGCAGGCAGCAGCCGAGCGCAGCTCCATCAAGATGCAATGTTATTGCGTGTGTCACTTCCTTGTGAAGCTCCAGTATGAAACCAGTGTTCGAGAACAAAGGCACAGTAGCACTGAAGTGACTGTCACAGAACTACTTATCGGCGTGAGAGACGCAGCTATGTCAATCCACAAGTTCTGGAAACACAACTATCTTAGCAATGTGCGAATCCAGTATCATCACCCTCATCATCAACAACATAATCAAAATGACGATGCCAATCATGGTTGCAATGAGACTCGTGGCACTGAGACGGAAGACAACAGTACATCAATCAGCACTGCACGGCCACAGCTCTTCCGAACCCTTCGCTCACCAGGCCAGGGACTGGGAAGAAGACCATCCTTGCACTGCACGGCAAATAGCGTGTCTCACAACTGATAGAAGGATTGTTGGTACATCATGAATATGAGTCTCCGTCGTGATTTTAGTGCAACCTTCACGATCGCTACCATGCCAATTACCATGTCCACCATCATGACAACTCTCATAATCATTTCGCGTAGTCTTGCTCTTGCTGGTATGATTGCAATTGGGCTATTCGATCAAACTTTGCTGTTTTTAACACTCTCGTGAGTAGCGTTGCTAGCGTCTCTACGCCACTTGATAATTCATGAATGTCAACGTCCATCTTGCTGCTGTCGTTGCATGTTCACTATTCATCACTATTCTTTCTCACTCTGGCTACCACTACGAACTATCTTCGCTGGCATTCCTATAAGTACCACCACGATTGTTGCAATCCGTACAGTACACGGCAACACTAGCATCCGTATTGTGATACCACCCACCACCACTACCACCACCACCACCACGACTACTACTACTACTACTACTACTACTACTACTACCACAACCACTACGACTACTACTACTACTACTACTACTACTACTGCTACTACTACTACTACTACTTTTACCACGGCTACGGCCGACAACTACGACGACTATCACGACTACGACGACCAGGACTGCTAGGACTGCTGTTACTGCTACCACTGCTACTGCGCCTACCTATTCACGACTACTACTACTACTACTACTACTACTACTACTACTACTCCTACTACTCTACTACCACTACCACTACCACT